TTTTACTTCCATTTCACCATCTGGGTGCTACTTTCAACTACAGTTTGCTACCTTTAGTTGTCTCACTGAAAACTTCGGCTGTTTTACCTAATGCACTAGAAAATTATCACTTTTTCTGATTTTTATGGGTTTTTCCTACTAATTTTACATTTTTACTTCCATTTCACCATCTGGGTGCTACTTTCAACTTCAGTCTGCTACCTTTAGCTGTCTCACTGAAAACTTCGGCTGTTTTACCTAATGCACTAGAAATTTAACACCTTTTCTGATTTTTCTGCGGGTTTTTCCTACTAATTTTACATTTTTACTTCCATTTCACCATCTGGGTGCTACTTTCAACTTGAGTCTGCTACCTTTAGCTTTTAGCTTATGTTTTGCGCAACAGGCATTCACCCTTGCATTTTCGTAGGAAATGCAAATTCTCTAGTTAAAGTTACATAAAAGTTGGATTCAGATCAAATATTAATGTATTATCGTAACCAACAAGACACATTAAGGCATATCTCTGGTTATGTTTATATTAGAATGATCCAAACGTAGCTTTTAAAGCCAGGAATCTGAAAATGTGATCAGCTCATTTTGACCAAATTTGACTTGATCCTCATTTTGATACGATGGGTCACATTTATTAATTAGTTTAATTGGTATTTTACGTTGTGATAGAGAATTGACCTAATGTTGCCAAAGAGAGACGTCAGAATAAGTGCAGAGCACAGCTGAAACATGGATAGAAATGAACGTGTTAAATGTAATTCAATGAGCTGAAAACACCAGAGGTTCTCAAACTGGGGTCCCAGGACCCCCAGGGGTCTGCGAGGTGTATCTTGGGGGTCCTCAAAAAAATTCAACAAATTGTTCATTTGTTTTTTATTTAAAGAAATTCATATGAGGAACAACGCAGTAGTCAAACAAACCTACTAAACCAAATAAAAAATAATATTCCTATGGCATGTAGGGGTTAAAATGACRGTAAATTATTTACTTATTTCCCAGATAATTTTTCATCCTTGCAAGAGGTCCAGAACAAAAAAAACTTTGAGAACCCCTGATCTATACAGCAAAAAAATGCAAATTCTGAGCATGCGCCTTAAAGGTCAATTAATAAAGTGTGTAAAAGGCTCTCTGGCTGAAGTGAGTGTGTTCCTAGTGCTTGATCATTTAGATCAAGTGCTGCCCATAAACCTGACAAACCTGTGTTGTTGTAGACCTCCATGGTGCTGACACATACGTAAGTTACATGGGGGCGAAGTTATGACATAGTGTTTTTATTTATTTTTGTTTTTTTGTGGAACAGTTTTCAGTTTAACAAGAGCACCAAGTGATGCTTTTATCATTGTAATTTTGCAAGATCATGGCATAAAATCTTATGCCCCCTAGTAGTAGTTAATGATAAAGCACACAACTTTTTAAAACTATTGTTAAAAGACCCTAAAATTTTTAAGGTGTTTGACGTGTTTATAATAAATGATCTAGTTGGTTAAGCTTCAAATATCTTTAGAGTCCACATTTCCAGTTGGGTTGCAAACAACATGATTTGGTTCATTTTTGTTTGTTTGTTTGTTTCTTTTTCTGGGTTTTGGTGTTCCTTGATCTTCTCCTTTTCATTCTACAGATGTTAATTCATAGTGCGTTGCCATTTCATACTTTTAAATCAGCCATTTCATACTCATTTAAAGTGTTGAAATTTGTCAGGGTTCTTGAAATGGCTAAGGGGCAAGACTTCAAGTCCAGTGACTAAAATATAAATTACATTTGTATTTCAGGACATTGGGCCTCATGCAAGAACCGTTCGTACGCACAGATTTGTTCTTAAATTGTGCGTACGAGTGATTTAGGAGAATTTGTGGCATTCACCAACGTTTTCATATTCTAAGATTTTTTTCAGATAC